GCGTCCCCTGCGCGATGCGCGCGCCGCTGCCTTGGTAGCTGGTGGCCGCGCTGGCGGGCGCGATGCTCCACCGCGGCCACGTCGAGCAGACGATCGCCATGATCCTGAGCTTCGCCTGCTACCTGAGGCCGTCCGAGTGCGACCTGTGACGGCCGCGCAGGTCGCCCCCCCCGTCGCGGCGGGCGCCAGGGGCTCGAGGCTCGCCGCGCCGCTGCTTTATCCAGGCGAGCTGGGCCGACCAGGGGAGACGGGTCTCTGGGACTTCGCGGTGGCGATCGACACCTCAGTCTTCCTGGTACCAGCGCTCCTCGGGCTGAAGCGGCGAGCTCCTTCGTGAAGGACACGGCTACGATCGCCCCCTCCCGCCTCGCTCGGCCCGTGCATGGGGGAGGCGGGCTGCGCGCTGGGGCTGAACGACTTCCCCGCCCCAGCTTACGGGCTGCGTCATGGGGGCGCGTCGGGCGACCTCCCGGCGACGAGGCGAGCGGCTCTCGACGTCCAGCAGCGCGGAGGGTGGGCCCCCGACAAGAACTTCAGGCGCTACGCGAAGCAGGTTCGGATCATCACCGAGCTCCAGCGCGTGGGCCAGCAGGCGATCCCCTTCGGCCAGGGCCAGGCCATGGACGCCGCGCTGCCGCGCGTCTTCCTGCACGGGGCGCCGCACCCCGCGCTGCGCCTGACCGCGAGCGGGCTGTAGAGCTCGCGGGACCCATCGAGGGGAGCCCTTCGGCGAGCTCCGTTCGTCGGCACCTCTTTAGAGAACTTCGTGGCAGTTTCAGACGTCAGAAGGCTCCCCTCGAACCGCTGTCCTGGAGCTGTTCGCCGGGACGCGCCGCGTGTCGGCGGCGCTGGGGCGCCAGGGCATCGCTGCGCTGCCGATGGATTTTGCTTCAGACCGTTGGTTCGATCTCGACAATCCCATCGCCCGTCAGACCCTCCGAGGCCGTTAGCCTTAGCTGGCTGGGTGGCCATGCCGTGTAGCTCCTTGAGCCAGGCCCGCCACGGGCCGCCGGGGTCCTCTTGGTGCACCATTCGCTCGATGAACCACATCTGGGGCTGCCCGATCTGGGAGCCAGGCCGCAGGCGGCCGTCGACCTCGGGAACCAGCACCAGCAGCTCAGGTTCGCCCTCGGCCTCATCGCTCTCTGCCGCTCGCTTGGGATCCCAATCTACCTCGACAGCCCGGGGTGCTCGTGGGTCTGGTCTACACCGGCGCTGCAGGCCCAGCTCGGGGCCCAGGACGCTGGGTCGTTCAGACTCGACATGTGCGCGTTCGGGGCCCGCTGGAGGAAGCACACTCGCGTGGCCTGCTGGGCCCGTCATCACCCTGAGGTCTCCGTGAAGCTCCGCTACTGTTGTAGAAAAGGCCTTTGCTCTTTTTCGGGAAAACCTCACATAATTCTCTCTGGCCTCGGCCCCGTTGCAGGGATCCTTTGGATTCGCTTCACCGAGCCGTATCCTGTAAATTTTCTGCAATTATTTTTCTGATTTAGTCGCGAGGCGAACGGGGTTTCAGGGCTTCAAACGCGTGCCGACCTTGGCCTGTCCGATCTCCGCTAGATACTCATGCTAATTTTTTGTCGTTTAGGTTTATGTTCATTCGGCGCCGTTTTTCGTCGCCACTTCTCCTCTCGGGCTCGGGTCTCCTCCTCGGTGTTGTGTGGGTGCGTTGGGTCCTCCTCTTCCTCCACCTCCTCGTCCTCTCTCCTCCGTGCGTCCTTCGGTGGGATCGCCCGGGACGCCCGCCACGCAGAAATGTTGGGGTGGCCTGGGGTGTAGCAGGAGATGGCCGTGTCTTGCACATCTCATCTCAGGTGTAGACGAGGGCCGTCGTGGTCGCGCCGATGCGCCGCAACCGCGTCGGCTCAAGTCTTTTGCTGGCCCGCCCTCCGCTCCCTCTTCTCTCTCCTCCTCGGTGTTGTGTGGGTGCGTTGGGTCCTCCTCCTGCTCTCTCCTCCGTGCGTCTCGCTCGTTCGCCGCTGCGCTCTTCGGTGGAATCGCCCGGGACGCCCGCCACACAGAAATGTTGGGGTGGCTTGGGGTGTAGCAGGAGATGATGATGGTGATGATGATGATGTTGATGCTGATGCTGATGCTGATGATTGCGATGATGATAGCGATAGTGATAGCGATAGTGATTGTAGGGGTCATGATGTTGCTGCTACTGATGACGATGTTTATGGTGACGATGGGTATGACGATGGTGCTGCTGATGATGGGGATGAGGATTAGGATGAACATGATGATGATCATGGTGATGATGATTGTGATCGTGATGGTGATGCTGATGCTGATGGTAATGATGATGTTGATGATGATGACGTTGGCGGCACTGATGGTGATGATGCTGATGATGATACTGATGATGATGGTAAAAGTGGTGATGCTGATGGTGATGATGATGATGATGATGATGGTGGTGACGATGGTGATGATGATGATGATGATGGTGAGGGTGATGCGGATGATGCTAATGCTGCTAGTGATGGTGAAATTGATGCTGATGATGATGACGATGAGGATGATGTGATTATGATGATGATGGCGGCACTGATGGTGATGCTGATGCTGATGGTGATGATGATGTTGATGTTGACGACGATGGCGGCACTGATGATGATGATGATGCTGACGATGATGGTGGAAATGATGGTGGCAGTGGTGATGCTGATGGTGATGATGATGATGCTGATGATGGTGGTGGGGGCGATGGTGATGATGATGATGATGATGATGATGATGATGATGATGATGGTGAGGGTGATGCGGATGATGATGCTGATGCTGCTAGTGATGGTGAAAATGATGCTGATGATGATGGCGATGAGGATGATGATGCTGATGATTATGATGGTGATGGCGGCACTGATGGTGATGTTGATGCTGATGGTGATGATGATGTTGATGATGATGACGGTGGCTGCACTGATGGTGATGACGATTATGATGCTGGTGATGATGGTGACAGTGGTGATGCTGATGGTGATGATGATGATGATGATGATGATGATGATGGTGGTGGTATCGATCGTGATGATGATGATGATGATGATGATGGTGAGGGTGATGCGGATGATGATGCTGATGCTGCTAGTGATGGTGAAAATTATGTTGATGATGACGATGAGGATGAGGATGTTGATGATTATGATGATGATGGTGGCACAGATGGTGATGATGATGATGATGATGCTGATGTTGATGATGATGGCGACGGTGGTGATGATGATGATGGTGGTGATGATGACGGTGGTATTGATGGTGATGATGATGATGATGATGGTGGTGATGGTGATGGATATGATTATGCTGATGCTGATGCTGATGCTGATGGTGACAATGATGATTATGATGATGATAAGGACGATGATGACGATGAGGACGAGGATGGTGATGATGGTGATGATGATGATGATGATGATGATGATGGTGATGGTGATGGTGGTAGTGATGGTGATGATGAGGAGGAGGACGATGATGATAATGATGATGATGCTGTTGATCACGGTGTTTATGATTATGATAGTGATGATGATGATGATGGTGATGGTGATGAGGAGGATGAGGATGAGGGTGATGATGATGTTGCGGATGACGGTGATGGTGGTGGTGATGGTATTGATGATGATGCTGCTCATGATGATAATGATGAGCATGACCTGATGACGATAAATATGCTGATGATCCTGCTGATGCCGATGATGAGGATGAGGATAAGGATGAGCATACGGATGATCATGTTGATGTTGATTGTGATTGTGATAGTGGTGGTGGTGATTGTGATGTTGCCGGTGATGATGATTATCATTACGATGGCGGTGTTGATGATGATGGTGATGATGTTGACGATGATGACTATGTTGATGATGACGATGATGATGATGGCTGTGATGATGATGATGTTGATGATGATGATGGTGGTGATGATAATGGGGATCATGCTGAGCATGGTGATGCTTGTGTTTTTGTTGTTGATGATGATGCTGATGATGATGATGATGGTGGTGGTGATGATGATGTCGCTGCTGCTGATGATGATGATGATGATGATGATGATGATGATGATGATGAGATGGTGTGATGATGATGTGGGCGTTTTTGCTGCTAGCGCGACTCCCGCCCTATGGCGTGCAAAGCTGGCCTGAGGGATTTTGCTACCCGTGCTGTAGCCTCGGATGCTGTGCACGGCGCGCCGCCGATTCTGGAACGAGCCATAACGATCATCCTGGCGTCGGTCGCGAGGGGGGAGGCACGCCAAGTAAGAGGCCTGCCTGCCAGTAGGTGCCCCGCGGAGATATGTTCTTCCTCGACGGCCCCAGACGCCCCGCGGAGTTTGCGGGCTTTCCGCGAGGCCAGACTTTCTCAACGCACGCATCTACTTACGGTTGGCGTTGGAAAGGTAGCGTTCGATGTGGCGTCGCCAGCCTGCTTATGACACGCTATCCCCCACCTTGGGGATAGCGTGCGCCGAAGAAGCCCTGGCAGCGGGGACAGCGTGCACAGAATGGGGCCCTCTCAGGCGGACAGCGTGCACAGAAGGGTGCCCTTGTATTCTTGGATTTCGATCGTGCCCCGCGCCAAAAGTGCCAACATGGCCGTCCAAGGTCCTTGCAACCTTACCTTGTATCCCTACAACCAACTTTGACTGTAGCGTGCTTTTCGCCGCGCGACCTCACGCTCGTGCACTTCCTCGGCAGGCCCGCGATGTGTTTCACATCCTGAGCGGCTCCTGTCCTTCCCCTGCCTCTCCCCGCGGCCCTTCGTGCCCAATTTGGCTCCCAGCGAACCCCGCCCGTTGCCCGACGGGCGCCTGCACCTGCTCTGGCTCGCTTGCGCCCGCTGGCTTAAACAAGCAGCGTGCTTTTCGGAGATCGATTTGGTGGCGCTCAGAGGGGGGTGGGGGGATGGCGCCGACGGTGTGCACCACGCTGGGGCCCAGGATGTGGCCCTGGCCAGGCGCGGGTGGCGGTGGTTGTGGTGCAGTCGCCCTCCGCGGAGAGGCGCTCTCGGAGGCGTGGCGCTCGCTGGTGGAGATCCGCCGGCTGCAGGAGGCGCAGCAGGCGCGCGTGGCGGAGCTGCGCGCGGAGCTCGAGGGAGAAAGCAGCGGCACGGGCTTCAGGAGGAGGAGGAGGAGGAGGAGGAGGAGGAGGAAGAGGAGGGGGAGGAGGAGGGGGAGGAGGAGGAGGAGGAGGAGGAGGAGGAGGAGGAGGAGGCAACGAGGTTCGAGGGTTCGAGGCTCTCGCGTTTTTTTGTTCGCGCTCCCCAGCAGCCGTCTTCCAGCCTCGGGGCGCCTTCCCGCGGCCGTGCCTCGCCGAGGGCTCTCCGGGGGTGCCCAGATCGTCGCGACGGGCCGCCGGAGGCCCGAGTGGTGACCCGAAGACCACCAGTCAGGGCTGGACAGAACCCCCAGCAGTGACACGTCGATTAGTGAATTCTCCGTTTTCGGTTCTCGAGAGGGCGCCGTGGCCGTGATTTTCCAGGCTTGCGCCCGCCAGGTTTGGGCCCGAGGTCGTTTTCACTAAACCACGTTTTACTAAAGGGAGGTCTGTCCATCCCCGAACCAGGGGATAGGCGCAGGCGGCTGGAATGCATCGGCCCCCCAGTTGCCCACTGATCGCCGATGGCGGCCCCATAGCTCACCCCGCCCGGCAACATGCGGAATCGCTGTCGGGTGACTTGCGCCGAACTGCTGGCGATGTTTCGCCGATTCCAGGTCGATGTTTCCCCCTTCTGAGTTAGTCCCCCCCTATCGTGGCCCCTCAGTCGTCTTCCGGAGGGCCGCGCGGATTTCCTGGGTCGAGGATGGACCCCACTGAGTTAACCTTGGCGCGCGGAACGCGCCAAGCACTGCGCTGCGCCCCAAACCGCACAAGCATCAGCTTCCGGAGGGCCGCGCGGATTTCCAGGATCGAGGCTGGAGCCCCCTGAACTTACCTTGGCGCGCGAAGCACGCCAAGCACGGCGCCGCGCCGGGGGGCCAGCGCCGATCCGAGAGATCCGCGTGGACCTCCGAAAGTCAATGCCTGTGCCTTGCTCTGTCAGGTCACGAGCGAGCGACGAGCATCGCGGGAGAAGGGTCTGAACCATTTCTCTTCCAGGGCAAATTTCTTTTCATCTGAGGGTAGAGAAATGTGTTTCTGGGTCCGCCCCAAAAAATCCCGTGTTGGACAACTTCTAAAAAACAATTGAAGGACTGGTTGGTTGGTGGGTTGGTTGGTTGAGTGGCTCGCCGATTGCTGGGCCAAACGAATTTTATCCACGAGGTCGGTTCGTTGGTTGGCGGGTGGGTTGGTTGGTTGGTTGGCTGGTTGTTTGATTGGCTACTTGGCCGTGCTTCCGTTTGCCCAGGAATGGTTGGTCGATTGGTCGGTTCGTTGGCTCGCTAGATGCCAGGTCAAACCTTTTTTTACCAGGAGTTGGTTGCTTGGCTGGTTGGCTGGTTGGTTGGTGGAGTGGTTGGCTGGTTGGTTGGTTGGGTGGCTGGGTGGCCGGGTGGCCGCTTGTCCAGGTGGTTGGCCGGTTCTCCCCTCCACTCCCCTTCCCCTCCTCCCCCTTCCCCCCTCTTCACTCCTCTCCTTTCCCCCCCCCTTCTCTGTACCTTCCTCCCTTTGCTCCCTCCCTGTCCTCCTCCTCCTCCTCCTCCTCCTTCTCCTCCTCCTCCTCCTCCTCCTCCTCCTCCTTTTCCCCCCCCTCGCCCGCAATTTGTTGCAATGCAATGTATTGCAACTACAATGCACATGCAACGCAGTGCAATGCGATGCAATGCGACAGGATGCAATGCAACGCAATACAATGCAAGACCATGCAAACGCAACACAAGTCAATGCAACCGGATACAATGCAGTGCAGCGCAACACAATGAAACGCAACGCAGCTCAATGCAATACAGTGTAACGCAACGCAATGCCATGCACTACGATGCAATGCACTGCAACGGAATGTGCGTCTCGTTGCGTGGTAGCGCCGTGGTGCCCCAACGAATGTGTTCCATTCCGCTCGCCACGTGGCAACGCCTTGGCGTGCGACAAAATACTGTTCCAGTCTACTCGTCATGTGGCAGCGCCGCGGGGGCTGAGAAACATACTATTCCAGTCTATTCCCCCCATAGGAATACGCCCTCGCCTAGGACTTCCTCGAACGTTCACTCTCTTACCCTCCTGCCCCTTCCTCCCCATCCAACCTCCCTCCTCCCTCCCCTCTCCCTCATATCCACCCTCCTCCTCCCTCTTCCTCTCTCCCCTCACCCTCCTCCCATAACCCTCCTCCCTCCTCTCTTCGCCCTCCCATACTATTCCACTACATTCGTCACGTGGCAACGTCGCTGGGGGTCGAACAATACTACCTACTCACTTTATTTGTCACGTGGCAACGCCTGGAGGCGCGAAGCGACAGTATTCGATCCCTTCTACTCGTCACGTAGCAGCACCGTTGGGGGACGACAAAACAACGACTCTACTCGATTCGTCACGTGGCAACGCCGCGGGGGCCGAACGTAATACTATGCCACTCCACTCGCCACGAGGCATCGCCTGGAGACGCACAGATAAATAATTCCGTTCTCATCATCTTGTGGCAGCGCCGCGGGGGCTGAAACAAACATCATGGCCACGAGGACGACGAGGACGGCGACGAGAGCGGCAACGACGACGACGATGACGACGATGACGAGGGCCGTGGTGGAGAACACACCTGATATCCCCTCCTCCTCGTGACCCTTCTCCCTCCCCCTTTCCTCCTCCCTCCATCCTCCCTCCTTCCTTCCTCCCCCTTCCTTCCTGCACCCCCTCTTCTCCTACCCATTCCTCACTCCTCGCTCCTCCGTCCTCCCCTCCTCTCTACCTTCCTCCCTTCTCCTCCCTCCTGCCCTCCCCCTCGCCCGCAATTTACTACAATGTCATTTATTGCTAACGCAATGCACATGCAATTCAGCGCAGTGCAACGCAATGCAACGCAACATGATCGTTGCTTGGTTGGTTGGTGGCTGGTCGGCTGAAAGGTTGGTTCGTTAGTTGGTTGGGTGGCCGTCACGTGGCAACGCTTGGGCGGGCGACCACACACTATTTCACTCTACTCGTCACGTGGCAGCGCCGCGGGGGGGGGCCAGAAAACTGTACTTTTCCACTCTAGTCGCCACGTGGCAACACCTTGCGGGGACCGACAACATTATATTCCACTACTCCTCTCGTGGCAACGCCGCGGGGGCACGCGGCAACGCTAGGCGGGGACCGACAAACTATTACTCGTCACGTGGCAACGCCGCGGGGTCCAAACAGAAATGCTAAGCCACTTCACGCGCAGCACGGCAGCGCCTAGGGGCGCGAAGAAGCAGTCATCGCTCCACTCTACTTGTCACGTGACAGCGCCACCGGGGCCGGAAATCACACGTCTTCCATTCGTTTCACCACGTGGCAGCAGTGCGGGTGTCAACAAACACACGCAATGCCACTCCATTCGCCACGTGGCAACGCCTGGAGACGCAGAGAACAAGGATTCCGTTCTAGTCGTCACGTGGCAGCGCCGCGGGGGGGGAACAACAAAAAGTAAGCCACGAGGACGGCGAGGACGACGACGACGAGAATGACGACGACGATGATGACGATGACGACGACAATGACGATGACGAGGGCCAGGGAGGCGAACTAAAATTATATCCTATCCTCCTCGTCCTTCTTCCTTCCCCTGCATTCTCCCTCCTCCCTCCTTCCTCCCCCTTCCTCCCTCCTTCCCTCAGATTTTCAAGACTGGACGAGAATACATTGACAAGAATAGTAGAGGTTTACACCCCAAGGTCCTGAGTCTAGCCGAACAGGCTGCGAGACGATCGGGGAACCGTCCGAGTCGTGAAGTTTAGTCAGGTGGTGATCATGGCACTTGCATCCGCAACGGCGTCCACTCCATTCCATGCCTTCCTCCATTCTCCTCCCTCCTGTCCTCCTCCCCCTCGCCTGCAATGTACTGCAAATGCATTGTAAATGCAATGCAGCGAAACGCAATGCAACGCAACAAGATGCAATACAATGCAATGCAATCCACTGCAACGCAACGCATTGCAATGCAATGCAACCCGTCACGTGGCAGCGCCGTGGAGGGCGAACAACAAATTATGCCACGACGACGACTTTGACGAGGGCCAGGGAGGCGAATCAAAATACGACCCAATCCTCCTCCTTGTCCTTCCCCCTCCATCCTCCCTCCTCCCTCCTCTCTTCCCCTTCCTGCCTCGTCCCCCTCGCCTCCTTCCACCTCCTCCCTCCTCACTGCAATGAAATGTACTACTCCTCCTCTCTCCTCCCCCTCCCTTCCTCCCCCTCCTCCTTCCTCCCCCCCTCTCCCTCCCCTCTTCCCCCTCGCCCGCAATTTATTACAATGCAATGTACTGCAAATGCAGTGCAAATGCAACACAGTGCAACGCAATGCAACGAAACGGGATGCAATGCAAGGCAAAGCAAGGCAATGCAACGCAATGCAATGCAATGACATGCAATGCAAATCAACGCAACGCAACGCAACGCAACGCAATGCGACGCAATGCAATTCCGCACAATGCAGTGTAACGCAGATGACACGCCATGCCATGCCATGCCATGCCATGCAAGGCAACGCAACGCAACGCAACGCAACGCAACGCAGCGCAATACAGTGCGCCCGCCGGCACGCCTGCACGCCCGCCCGCCCGCCCGCCCGCCCGCTCGCTCGCCCCTCCGCGCGCGCCTCCCATCCATTCCATTCCACGCCATCCCATTCCATCCACTCCTCCCTTCCATTCCATTCCGTCCCTCCCATTCCATTCCGTCACACTCCTCCCTTTCCCCACCCCGCAGTCATCATTCCACGTTCAAGAACTGGTTCTGGGCCCAGCGGCGTGGGACATCCTCAAAAAACGCAGCAGGAAGAGCTGGCTGGTTGGTTGGCTGGCTGGTTGGCTCCCCGGTTGCCGGGTGAGCCGGCGTCCAGAGGCTAATTTTGGCACATCCCTTGCGCGGATCGCGCCTAGGGGGCCAGACATAATTTCTGTCGACCAGAAATTCAAAATTTTTCTGACCCGTCGTATTCAAAGGAATTGAACCAGAAATGAAAGCTGGGTTGGAGAGGCGCTCTTCTCCAGCGAAGGCGGCACGAGGGCGCGAAGATAACCGCGCGTCGCGCATCGCGGGACGCGATGCTCGAAGTTGGACGACTTGGTTTTCGTCCTCCAGGAGCGGGGCCAGCTGCGGGCTTGGCGGTTGCAGCAGTCGGCGTTCGAGCCCCCCGCCCCGAGCCCTGTACCCCTGGCGCCGGCCAGGGTGATCGAGGAAACGCAAACGTCGGGTAGTGTGCGTGGACTGGGTGGGCCCCGCTTCCAGACAGAATCGGCGCGTTTCGTCGCCAAATCAGGCGGCACTGGCCGCGTTCTTCTGGGGTAGCCTTCCAGGATCCCTGGACCTGGTGCCACCGCGCCACATCCGCGGATCCCTAACCCGTGTTGGCGTGTGCCCGAGGTGATGTCCAAGAGCTAG